AATGATAGAGAAAAAAAATATATATATATATATATATATATATATATATATATATATATATATATATATATATATATATATATATATTTGCTTTTTAAAATCCAAAGTAATTATTATCCAAAGATAAAAATATCTCGAGATGGGTTAGAAGGAAAGAGAGAAAAACACTCATTAATTTGTGTAAATGGGTCTTAATGGTTTTAAATTATTATTTATTGACTAATTAATTAGCCAATAAAATAAATATTTTATATATAGTCAACTTTATATTATATTTTTTCTTATGAAATATTTTTTTTTTATTTGAATGTTTTCTATACATATATAGAAATTATATTTATTTATTTATTTATTCTTTTAAAATAATTAGATTTTTTTTTTTTTTGAGATTTTTTATTTTATTCATAAGAAAATTTTCGCAAAAATAGATAGACTCAAACCTTTTGACTTTCATTCGTTATTTTAAATATTATATTTATAATTAATGCTTAAATTTTTCAAGTAAAACATATTTTAAGAAATATTAAATTTAACATTAAGATTAATATTTTAGTAAATGTAACAATAAATTTAAATTTTTTAAAAAATAAATTATTAAATGAGACTGTCAATTGACAAACATTATATAATAATAAGACACCAATTAATTTTTTTTTTAGATATTTAACGTGTTACAATTTAAATTGCAGGACTCGAACACTAATGCAAGGCCTTTACAACCACTTAATAATCGAACGATTCAACTTCAACTACGATATGTGAAGAAGGAGAATTGATGTCTCACACATAATAAATAATATTTTGCTGTATTAGATATTATGTAACGACCTAAGTTTTAGAATATAACTTTGGTCGTTACCTTATACGTACAATATATGAACCTTAAAAAACTTAATCAAATAGAAATAACTAAAAAATAAAAGCTTTTTAAGAACAGTCAGACTTTCCTTCAATATCTCAAGATTTTTTTTTTTAAAGAACTGCCTAAGATTGTCTTTGCTATTGTCCGAAAATATTGAAAAATGAATATTGATCCAACCAAGACTAAGATTAACATATTGTATTTCTTATCATCGAGATGTGTATCACTTTCATATACATAGATCAATAAATATCACTTCCGTGCACACGTACCTTACTAAACGAACATCACTTTCATACCTGCAAAGTCTCACTGGGTACTCATCACTTTTGTATCTATCAACCCTGCATACATCACTTTCATACACGTAGAACACAAAGGAGTGTAATAATCTAAAAACAACTTTCAAACATCCGTCCTTAAAAATTTTTAATTTAGCCATTTCAGCTATGAGATAATAATTTGTTGAACTATATGTTCGGATTGGTGTATAGACTGGGTGTTTATATAAACCCTTGACCTCTCGACCTTCTACCAATATCATAATGGAAAATATTTCGATTGACCAATACGATCATGTTATTTACTCATAATTTCTAAGAGTGAAAATTATCTCCACAAACCAACACAAGTCCTTTCAGCATACTTTATCCTTATGTCCCACGTTGGTTGGTGAGGAGAACAAAACACTATTTGTAAGGGTGTGGAAATCTTCCCCTAGCAGACACGTTTTAAAGCCTTGAGAGGAAGCCCAAAAAGGACAATATCTGTTAGTGGTGGATCTGAGCTGTTACAAATGGTATTAGAGCCGGACACCAGACTATGTGCTAGCGAGGAGGCTGTTCCCCAAAGGGGATAGACACGAGACGATGTGCCAGTAAAGACGCTGGGCCCAAAGGGGGTGGATTTGGTGGGGGTTCCACATCGATTGGAGAAAGGAAAGAGTGCCAGCGAGAACATTGGGCCCCGAAGGGGTGGATTGTGACGTCCCACATTGGTTGGGGAGGAGAACAAAACACCCTTTTATAAGGGTGTAGAAACTTTCCCCTAGCAAATGAATTTTAAAACCTTGAGGGGAAGCCCTAATGGGAAAGCCCAAAGCCGACCATATCTGCTAGTGGTGGATTTGGGCCGTTACACTCACTTAGATGGGGAAAACTTCGTTTTAAAGCCTTGAGGGGAAGCTCGAAAGGGAAAGCTCAAAATCGACAATATTTGCTAGCGGTGGATCTGGGCCGTTACACTCACTCAAATGGGGAAGGCCTAAATTCTCGAGGGGAAGTCCGAACGGAAAAGCCCAAAACCGACAATATCTACTAGCAGTGGATCTGAGCTGTCACACTCACTTAGATGTGCCCTCGGAGTCTATGAAAGATAATAATTAAAAAATGTTGAAGAATTAAGAGTCTTAAAAGAAAATCCCATTCAAATATCTCACATTAATCGAAGATATACCGAAATCTCACGTGCCCCACAAGCAAACGAATCGGTACCAAATGTGCTAAGCATAATAAGCCAAGTATTATCCTCTTCTCGAATCTGAAGGTCTAATCTGGTTAATTTTTCTGAAAGTTATATGTATTTTGTTGCGAGATTGTCACCCAACTTCTCTGAATCTTTTGATTTAGTCTCTCCATTCTGTAAATTGTAAATAAGCTCCCAGTTTTCCTCGAGTTTTCATCTGTTGTTAGTGAGTTAGGGTTCTTCAATCTACATGCAGTTTGTGCGGTAGAGGTATGTGGTTGTTTTTAGTTTTTTTTTCTTTTCATTGTCGGTAATGTGGGTTTGCGGAATAGATTAGGGCTTCTGGGTATGTCGCTAACGGGGTCTTTTTTGCAAGTCAGTCTGATTTAGTAAAATTCATTCCGCATTGTGATTATTTTTTGCATTGCATGGTTCGTTTGAAGCATATGCATAAGCTTTTCCTTTTGCAATCTGGTTCTCCATGGCAGTAGTTGCATAGTTCTTTGCTTTGGTACATCTTTTTGGAATAAAATTTTGTGGCTATGCAATCTGGTTCAAATGAATGCTGCTGTTAAACTGTATGTTGAATTCAGAATATCACTTCCAATTTTTATTTTATTTTATTTTTATTTTTATTTTATTTTATTTTTTTACAAGTCAAAATTTTGAAGCTTTGTTGAATTCTTCTTTTTTCTTGACACTCCGAGTGAGTCTTGAGAAAATGATAAGCCCGTTCAATGAAATAAATACTGTAAAAGCTTTGAAGCTAAAGGAAATTGCATTTAATTCAACTATTTGAAGCTGAAGCTTTTATATTACTCACTTCTAATGTAAATGTTTTTATATGCAGTAATTGGAAGTATGGTAAAGGACACTCGATCTAGTGTCAAAGCGAGTAATGAGGAAAACAGCAATCTAAAAGGGAAGCAAAATGGTGATAAGGTCACGACAAGAGCAGGTTCTACAACGCCTGATACATCTTCTTTAAGAAGATCTGCAAGAGACACATCATTGAAGAAAAAGATTGATGCAACCCCTCCCAAATCTAGAAAATCTGAGCGTCTTGACAACAAACCATCTAGCACTCCTCAAGATAAAAAGAAACATGGTACCCTTGAAAATCAGAATGAGGTTAATTCGGTTAGAAGATCTGAGAGGGGTAAAAAACAGTCTTTATCTACCTCTTCAAGATCTATATCTAAGAAATCAGTTAAAAGTTCAGGCTCAACAAATATGAAGGGAAAAAAGGAAAAGAAAGAGAAAAGTAGTGAACAATCGAGTCATGGAACTAGAGAGGCTGGAAAATCAGCAAAACAGGACATGGTTTCCACAAATGCCAGAAGTAAGAGAATGGATGCTCGTGCTTATAGGGCATTGTTCAGGGAAAAGCTTAAGAAGGCTAATTCATCTGGTACCTTAATTGTCTTCTCCTTTTTTGTATTTCTTCCTCCATGGACATCCCTATTTCACATTTGGTCCATATTATTCTTTTTTAGAGTGATAATGGTTCACTTACTATCAATTAGTCAATTTACTTCTATACGCATGCAAATATAGTCATTAAAGTCTTGTATGATAAGCATTTTTTTTTATAATTATATATATATATATATATATATATATATATGTATGTATGTATATATTATTGTTTTATACCTTTTAAAGATATATTAAAAATCCAAACAAAATTTTGAAAACGAAAAAAGTAATTCTTAAAAGCTTGTTTTTGTTTTTGTATTTGGAATTTAGCTAAGAATTCTCATGTTTTCTCATAAATGGTGAAAACTATAAAATTCATGGTAAGGAAATAATCAAAACTTACAAAAACATAAAACTAATCACAAAATTGTAATCAAATGCCTTAAGTAAATTACTCGAATCCAGTTCTCATTACCATATTATTTCTATCTTAATTACTTGTGCAAATTTAATTAATTCATAATTATGCCTTATGCTATTTTAACAAGTTGATGATTAGGTCTTCTTATCTTTCTTCTCCTTCAGTTGTAGTCCATCGAGAGCGGCAAAAGATTCCAAAAAGGAACACTCATGGTGGTAGCCATAGTTGCAAGGAAGACTTGAATGAGAACAATACGTGCAATGAGAAGAGTGGAGAATTGAAAAGCAAATGTCTAAAGGAATCCTCTACTAGAGCTTTGGAGGACTCTAAGGAGACGATAACTAAAGAATTGAGCAGCAAATGTCTAGATGAACCTTCTACTAGAGCTTTGGAGGGCCCTAATGAGACTAATAGTAAAATTTCCAAGGAAGTGGTGGAAAATGACATTGCATTAGATTTCCAACTGCCAAGCCAGAAGTCCTTCAAGGAAGAATTGCTGACTGAACTTTCAAATGAAGATAGCGATAGTGTAGATGCAGTTAACAGTGCAACTAAGAAATTGAAAACACTAGAGAGAAACAATTCTATACCAGGAGAAAAGATGGTTGATGACCATACTGACTCAGTTGGGGAATGTAAATTAATTTCTTTGAAAAGAAAAAGAAGCATGGAGAACCTGGACTCTAATGCCTTGGTAAGGAATGAAAGTGAAAAAACGTGCTCTTCACCGGCTAGATCTGTGCAATCATTATCATCTCTATCTGGACAAAGTGACCAAGTTGAGACTTGTGGCAACTGTTTGAAGAGACAAAGGTACTAGTCTTGATCATGTTAATATCAAGTATTTGTAGCAATTCATAGCACCATGGAGTACTTATTGAACATGAATTCCATCTATACGACAAAAATGTTATTTGCCATTACCCATCAATAACTCATCACTAAGCAATAGGAGATGCCAATATGTTATTGAATTGCGAATGATAAGGATAATCCAGATGTAGAATTGAATATCTGGTTTGCCATATTAGTTTTAGTGCTGTCAAAATTTTACTAATGGGGAATGGAAGTATATTTGTAATAACAAAAAATGTAAGCATAGATGGTATGCATTATGACTTTGAACCTATTTATTCCTTTGGATTAGTGACCCTTTCCGTTAGTAATTGGACTCCTCTTGCTTGGCTGTTTTTAAAGAACACTTGATTTTTTTTTTCTTTTTTTTAAAAAACACTGTAAACCTTTGGATGCCAGACTTGAATACCTGGTTTGCCGTATTACTTTTAGTGTTTTCAAAATGATACTGATAGGGAATGGAAGTATTTTTTGTAATAAAAAGATGGAAATCATAGATAGTATGCATTATAATTTTGACCTATTTATCCCTGTGGATTGGAGACTCTTCCTGTTAGTAGTTGGACTCCTCATGTTGGGCTGTTCTTAAAGAATGCTTGGTTTCTTTTATCAAAAAACGTGTTAACCTTTGGATGCCACATTTTCATTAAGTGGAGGCAGAATGGAAGGGGTATATAGTTCCAATCATGTAGGACCTGTCCACTTATTTGGGCACATTTGGATTCATCACACTGGGTATAAACTGAGTTCACCTTTTCCTCTTATAACCTTTCTTTTATTTTGTCCAATTGGAAATGTTTATTATAACTCCTTTGGATATGAGCTTTTATCTCTCCTTTTTTCACATCAATGAAATTATCTTTCAAAAAAAGTTATCTAGTTACCAGTGACACATTTGATGTGTTCTTCATTGTTACATATTGCAGGGTTGACAATAATTCATCAAAGGACTTCTGCTCTTGTGTGGAAATTGACCAGCAGAATGGAAAAACATTCATTGAAATGGTTTGTTTGTTCTTTCTTTCTCCATTTTTTTTCTTTTCACCTTCTTCACATTCATTCTTCTTCTAATTGGGATATTCATTGCATTGCAGGGCTGGTTTAACCAGTTTTTATTTATTTATTCTTTTTACCATATGATACGGACGGGAATCCCTTATAACCCTGCATCATCATCCTCTTGTTTTTCTTACTGTATCATATCTCAATGAATAATAACTCCTTTTCTGTTGAAAGGAGATTTAATTTTTTGATTGATAGAATTTACCGTGTCCTCTTGCTTAAAAAGCATTGAAGATAACACTATATTGAACTGATCACGAATATTTTGTTTTTGGTTTATTGTCGTAGGATAGAGGGGAACCCATGGGCAATGTCATCACAGATCCTGCTGGAAATTGTGTTTGGTGTAAGCTAGAAAAAGCATCATGTGACATTGACCCAAATGCATGTCTCATCTGCAAAGTTGGAGGAAAGCTCTTGTGGGTACTATTTTATTGGTTTATTATTTTGCTTTTTTGAATATTTTTTACATGAAGGCAATCTGGATGGAGGGATTTTAATTTGTTGTTGAATTTGACGAGGAAAGGTATGATTGTTTAAAGAAAACCTTGCATAAAGGATGGACGGGAAACACAATCAACTAGCCTTCCACCCTGTTGGAAATATTTCTTAGATCTCAAGTTAACAAGGCTAACAAATACATTAAAATGAACTCTAATCCAAATGCCCCTTGGGAAGCTTTTATATTTCATTAGTTTTATTTATTTTTTACTCTCTCCTCCCTTGGAATTTTGTATCTTTGAGCAATAGTTTCTTTTCATTCATTCAATGAAAAGTTTCGTTCCTCGTTAAAAATATCCTTATCAACAAAGTGGTGTCTTCCAAAATCTATTTCTTTCTACCCAAAAGCTCTAAACGATCATCTATAAATTATCACGTTTTCTATATAAGAAAAACCCCTACAACTTCATTCCCCGTTTTTTTTTTTACAACTATCTCCATCTAATATTGTCTAATCTTTGACTTTGTCCACTCCTCCTGTTGTGTTACCATGCAATCTGTTCTAAAATGAAATATATTGAAACTTCAGTTATCATGCTGATTTGTTTCAATGTGTGTATCTTTCCTTGCATTTTCTTTAAGATGCTGTGAAGGAAAAGAATGCAGAAGAAGCTTCCATCTTTCTTGTCTTGATCCTCCCTTGGACGATGTTCCGCTTGGAGTTTGGCATTGTCCAATGTGCATTCGAAGGAAGATCAAGTTTGGGGTCCATGCTGTGTCGAAGGGTGTAGAGTCTGTCTGGGATACAAGAGAAACAGAGATATCAAATGCTGATGGTACGTTCGCTAAATAATTCAATCTTACACATCTAATAGTAATAGCTTGTAGATGTTCAAAATACTGTGTTACCATGTTACTTTTATGGTTGTTGCTTTAACCTTCAGGTCTATGACCTTTCCAGCTTTCCCTTATATATTTATATCATAAATATATAATTCTCTTCAGATTCTTTGTTATCTGTTGTTATCTTCAAGGGTTGCAAAGGCAGAAACAATATTTTGTGAAATTTAAAGATCTTGCTCATGCTCATAATTGTTGGTTACCGGAGAGTGAATTGCCTTTGGAAGCCTCAAGCCTTATTTCAAGATTCAACAAAAGAAATCAGGTTAGGATTTGTTCTTTCTAAAAGTTGATGTGTTGTTCAATTTGACGTTATTTCTCTCATTGCTTGATATCATTGAATTTAATGTAGCAAAAATTGAATTAAGAAAATTTAAATATTAGAAATCTACAAGGTAATAACATTTAGTATGATCGATCTAAAAAACCAATAGTAGCTGGAGAGAAAGATGAATAGATGATACCTTTCCCTCACACTCTTTCTTTAAAGTATAATATCTCTTGTACTGTTTTACCACTATGGTTTCTTCTATCATGTGGAACTTAATTACTTAAGTAAAAAGAGAAGATAGAAGTAAGTTTTTGTGTCATTTTGAGGGAAAAGGAACCCTTTTTATAGTTGAAAATTGCAAGAAATGAAATTTTAGGGTGACATTTAAAGTTCTTATGGCTGGGTAGAGGGAGGAAGTTTATCTACGATATTGACCTACTTGTCCAATTAACTCCTTTTGTGAAGGACAATATTGAAAATGGAACTGAGTATGGCCCATGGCGAATAGTTTATTTTTGGAAATTAATGATGTTATTTTATTTTTTATTTATTACAATGGATATTCTCCACTGTGATTGCACTTTTTCTTTCAGCATTCAAGGTGGAAGCAAGTGTGGGCTGTTCCACAGCGTTTGTTACAGAAAAGATTGTTGTTTTCTTCTAAGCTATGTGAGGAGCATGATAGGGAAGTTTCTGGGGCTGAATTGAATTGCCAATATGAGTGGCTTGTCAAATGGCGAGGCCTTGATTACAAATGTGCAACATGGGAGTTGGAAAGTGCTTCATTTTTAAGTTCATCTGATGGTCAAGGTCTCATGGAAGATTATGAAAGACGCTGTGAAAAGGCCAAGTTTGCTTCCCATGTCTCAGAAATGGATGAGGTACATTCAGAAAAGTTAGTACTTTTATGATCAGCCATCTTCATGGCTGTCAGCTAAAAAAAAAAAAAGTTTTTGTTTGCTTATTCTACTGCCTCAGAACCCTGCATAAACAATTGACTATTCTAATCCTTCCATGGAAATAATGTGGTTTCTTAAATAGTTTATTTGTTTCAGTCGATGAAAATTTGTTGTTGTAAGCGGTTAACTCTATAGCTTGGGGCAAGTTAGTATTTTGTCACTTTCCTCGTCAAATGATCTTGGTTAGCTGGAGTGTTTTTATGCTGTACTTGGCCTGGATTAGGGCTTGGCTCCTAGTCATCCTTTCCCTTGAAAATCTCCTAGTTAATGACACGGCTCTTACAAGAAGTTGAAAAAAGAGCTGACTCTGGGATTTTCTAATTTTTACATGATATATCAAATTTCTACGTTTCCACTTAAATTGGATGTCAGTTGACTAGTCCATTTTATGAACTTGGAATGTTTGTGCCTTTTAATGCTCTTAGCACTATTTGTATTTTCCTCCCTCTGCCCCCCCCCCCCCCCCCCCCCCCCC